AAATTGTCCTGGTGACTAGAACTATGTTACACTTAGAGAGATCCATGGAACCCTAACAATCTCTTGCTAATTGTGTTGTCTTCTTGAAACCCTAACAATCTCAAGCGGCTGGGGTCGTTTGGAAGTTGTGATTGTTCAAATTGATGTGTTGAGTCAATTAGTGTATTATCATTTGATGTATTAGCAAAATATCTTGTTTGGAGGTTTAGATTGTGGTTTGTTGTAAAGCCACAAAAGTCAATTTTGAGTGATTGTGAAAAATCCCAACAAAAAGTAGAGATTGATAATCCCTCAATTATGAATGATTGTAGTGGGGCCTCCAAAAAGTTAATGCATGCATTCTAGTTCAATATAAGCCAAAAAAAGACTTGATATCACAAATACATGAATTAGCTCAATATACCATTTGAAATCACAACTTCCAAATGATGCATTTATGTGGCCGAGCCTCTGGACCTCTTTTCGTCATAATTATTATTATGTTTACTTTGGGATATTACTCTAGTTTATCGGGTTAGTACTATTCTTATTTAGGTAGTTGTAAATTAGGAGTCGAATTGTGATTAGCTTACCATGTTTGAGAGAGAGAGAGGGTTTATGGGATGTGTCCTATAAATATGTACTTAACCCTCATGTTTTATTTATCGAAGAAAAATAAATCCTAGTACATTCAATTTTCTTTAGTTTTCGTATTCAAGTTCTCGATGCGTGAGGCTGTCACGCATCACCAAATGACCTCAGTTTACATTTTCTCATATCCTTGGTATGTTTCTCTATATCAAATCGAGTCTTTCTTGTTTACTAGTAGGGATGGCATTGAAACCTGGACCCGCGGGTACCCAATCCAACCCGGTCAAAGCGGGTAAAATCCGTAATGACCGGATACGGGCTAGGTTCGGGTTTAAACCCGGTGTGTTGTTGGGCAGGTTGGGGAGGGTTCGAGTTTGGGGGTACCCGCCCGTGGATACCCGTACACACTTAGTAAACCCTACATTTCCAAAATTCCCCCCAACTCCCAGAAACCCCGCCGCACCTGCATGTCCGCGCTTTCCATTCCATCCCTCTCCTCTTCGGCTATCCCTCTATGAAACCCCGCGCAAATCTGCACCGCCTCCACCCTCCCAGCTCGACTCCATTTCCGACGGTCGCCGCCCTTCCCAGAGCCCCAGACCTCTCCGTCCCACCGCCCTCTTGCTCGGATGCTCCTTCTCTGCTCCGCGTCCCGACCTCCATTCCCGATGTCCGAGGAATTATCCTCGGGTACAAGAGGTATTGAGGCTACTTTGATTGATTCTCCTATTTCTCTATTATTTCTTGTTAGGATGTCAGGAAATGGTTTACTGAAGAATGGCCTTACAGATCTTCGATTTCTTGTATGATGAATATGATTAGCTAGTCTAGGTTTCAGTAATGGTGGTAATCTTTCTACGGTTTATTTTTTTGTTTCGAGAGATTAAGTGTTGATTTTGTTGGTGATAATTAGGTCCAAGGAAAACTAGTACCCCAACACTTCTCTCATTCTGATTTTACATTTCTAAGTCCCCACAATGCTTTCGTTTCCATATAAATTCTTTAGTGTATAAAATCAGGACTAAAATGGGCTTTAAAGCTTTAAAGCTTACGCTTTTATGCTTCTGGTTCATCAAAACGCTTTACGCTTTTACGCTTCTGGTTCAGTAAATGAGTATTCTATTCATGAAAATAATTATAAAAAGTATATTTTAGAGGTAAATCACAAAAATATGATATATTTGATATTAAAAGATACATATCAGGTACTTGGGTGTATTCTTAGTTTCAATAGAGTAATCTAATTCACCAGCTAGGCTCTTTTCAAATTCACTAGCATAGAGGGGAAGGTAGCTTATTGTTAAGATATATGTTTATGAACTTATTGTTAAGATGTTATGAGTTTCTCAACTTTAGACATGAATTACATGTATTTATTAACTTATCTAAATTATGTGCACTCATATTTTACAAAGTATAGGTCGTACTTAACACATTTTTCATTATTTTACAGTATGCGTAAAAAATTTACATTTTTACGCTTTAATTCTACGCTTTAATGATTTTACCCCTTTTCCGCTTCTAGTTAGAATTGCGATTTTGAATGCATTGATGGAAATCAATGCTCATTCTTCTAAGGCACAAAATCATAACTTTGTGGAGTTTTCTCAATATTTCGTTTGGAATCGGAAGTTGAAAAGGTGGCAGATGAGGAAGAACAAGGTTTGTATTGGAAGATTGTATTATTGTCCTCCATCAGGTAAGGAAAGATTTTATCTTCGCTTGTTACTGCTGCATTTAGTCAGAGGATTTCTTCCTTATGAAGAAATTCGAACAGTTAACGTTGTTGTTCATGCTTTATTCCAAAAAGCATGGTATGATCTTCAGTTATTGGCAGATGATGATGAATGAAGTGACTGCTTGAAAGAAGTTGCATTTTAGGGTTCTGGATATAAAGTAAGGAATTTGTTTTTCACAATTCTTATTCACTGTCAAGTGTCTTATGTGCAATCTTTGTGGGAAAAAACTGGGATCTATTGAGCGATGATATCCTGTTCAATCGAAGAAGGGTGTTAAATTTATCCACTTTACAGCTATCTGCTGATGAGATCAAAGAAATATGTTTGGTGGAGATAGATAAATTATGGCAAAAACATTGGAAGTCGTTGGTGATTTTCAAGGTTTGCCGTTTCCATCTAGAGCTACGAGAATAAATTCTCAAAATTGAATGATCGCTGAGGAGTTAAATTACAATCCAGAAGATTTAATGAGGGAATTCAATAGTTTGTATCCAAAACTGAATTCAGAGTAGAGGATGGCATTCGATGAAATTGTTCAAGCTATGGATGGAGAGAATGGGTACTGCTTCTTTGTCTATGGATTCGGAGGTACATGGAAGATATTTCTTTGGAAGGTTATTCGTTTGAAACTACGGGCGGAAAAGAAAATAGTGTTGTGTATTGCTTCTTCTGGTATTGCAGCTTTGCTAATGGTTAGAGGCAGAACCGTTCATTCTAGATTCCACATTCCAATTGACTATGACTCAAAATTAACATTTCATATTGAACAAGGGAGCGAGCTAGCTGAGTTGATTCAGAATGATTCTCTTATTATTTGGGATGAAGCTCCTATGACTCATAAGCATAATATTGAAGCAAGGACAGAACATTCAGAGACATTTTTCAAGTGAAACATTCAAACAATGAGGACATGATCTTTGGAGGAATTTCTATTGTGTTTGGTGGAGATTTTTGACAAACATTACCAGTAATTGCTAAGGAAACACGAGCAGATATTGTCAATTCTTCTATTAAGAGGTCGCATTTATGGCCATCATTAAAAGTTTTGAAGCTCTATCAGAATATGAGATTGTGCTTATAGAATTGTAGGCCTCAAGAAGCTATCGACATTGAAGAATTCGGCAAATGAATTTTGGATATAGGTGACAGAGGGGACTCCAATGTTTTTGGGGAGTCAATTATGCCAATTCCAACGTCTTCGAGGGTTGAAAGTGAAGGAGATGGCATTGCTGATATTGTCCATGATGTATATGGTGATCTCCATTTGAATTACAATGAAAGAACCTATTTGGTTCATCGTGCTATACTGGCTCCGCATCATGAAATGGTATTAATAATAAATAATTATTTGAAGAACATTAATATTTTTATACTAATGTGAAGCTCGACTACAAATTGCTACTGTTATTTGAGTGATTGACAACTGAATTCGGCCAACTGGCCAGGCCCGTGATTAGTTGCTTGTTTATAGCGTTGTCCAGAAATGGCCAAGAAAACAGATATATGGGGAGCACCCAAAATCACTAGAAAGTTTTTTTTTTTGACAAAAGATAATCATATATTGATTCAAAGAGAGATAGTTACATCCTAGAGTGCAGCTAGGTATGAAAATAAAATAAACGACTCATAGTCGGTACAATGGAAGTGCCTTTCTAACCACCGCATGGGCTACCTATTGCTACACTAGAAAAGTTAAAAGAATTAATCGACACAATGTCTGTAGATCAAGGTTGTCAACCCGCGGGTTGACCCGGGTTGGCCCTGACCCGGCCTTGAAAACGGGTTAAAATAGCCCATTTGAGAGTTAGCCCGGAAATGGTCAAACCCGGGAAAACCCGGTCAAACCCGGAAAAACCAGGGCGGTTGGCCCGTTCGAGCGGGTCATTGGGCTGCTCGTTCAAAAGTGTCGTTGAATTTTTACTATGTTGAATTTAAGTTGATGTTATTTAAGTGTGTTGAAGTTTAAGTACGATCATTTTTTTATGTTGGATTCAAAATAAGTACAATATAATGACTTTTTCATATTTTTGGGCTAAAACGGGTGACCCATTAACCCTTGACCCACTAGCTCGACCACGTTCGGGTCGACCCACAGGGTGACAACCTTGCTGTAGATTCTACACTATACAAATTCAAATTCCCAAGTGATTCTGTGCACAATGCAAGCCAATAGAACGTGCAAACTCTGGGTTAACTGCCATGGTGGTTGCCGACCTTTTGTTTTTCATGAGTTGCCACCGAAACTGGTAATGAGATGGGCTAATTTCCTTTGCCTTTCTTCATGCTTTTGTTTTTTCTTTCTCTAACTTCTATAGCTTTGAATATATGCAAAATTTTAAGGATCGGTATGACAATGTGGAGTATTTTGATTCCGTCAACGGAGAAATTATGTCTACAAAAGTCTTCAACTGCTTTGGCGAATGTTGCTTTTACCGATCTGAACCCTTGCTGCCTCCTGAATTAGTTGGTAAAGTCCTCTTCTTCAGTATGTGCTTCAATGTTCTGTAAACTCAATCAATCAAGATTTACAAAATTGGAAAGTCGTCAAGCCATCCAAAAGTGAAATTTTGATGAAATGGAAAGTTACGATATAAGGTTCTCTGCTTGGCTCTTCACATCCCTGGACCATAACACAGAGCCAGTGTCTTTGTGCATGGATTCTTGTTGCTGTGTTACTGCTATCAGCCATTGTTATGCTTTATGGCACTCATTCATCATCTGCAAAATCAGGAAACCACAGATAATTACAGTAATGAATTGGTCAAGTTTTCAGTTAATGTGAGCAAATCTGGCCTCTTATGTTATCATACCATCTCTCTGTCCTCATTTGGAAGAGACTCTGATGAAGCTCGAAACTCTGCAATGGAATTGAGCAATTATCTTGTGGCATATTCTCTAGCTTCCTCATCTTTGTATCGGTTCTCAATTGGATCCACCAACTAATGAAAATGCGGTACAAAAAGTCAGCCTAAAGAGTACAAACTTTGAGAGGACAAAGCTTAAAAAAATAGGATTACCTGCTTCAAATCCTGCATCTTTGTGGTATAAGCATTCTCAGTTTCATCATCTCCATCTCCATAAAGCCATTCCTCCGTCTCTTGTAGGCTCCTTGAAATTCCCTCCCTTTCCTCATCGCTAGCAAAGCTCCGTAATGTGTTAAAAAGCTGCACATGTCACATATTATTGATCTTTAAAATCCGCGAATTGAAAAGGACGTAAAACCAAAATACACAAATAGTTATCCTTGATATGCGCACTTAAATTCATAATGGCCTCCTCCCTCTTTTTGAATTGTATATTCTTAAACCAATTAATTTGTACCTTATTATGCATCTCATAGACATACGACTCCAATGCATTCTTCTTTTCCTTGGCTTGTTCCACAATTCTGTCCTGTTGGGTGAGTTCAAGTTCCCTCTCATGGGCTTCTGAAAGCTGAGCCATTGTCATTCCACCATAAACAGTTTCACTCACCGGTATATTGATCCTACGGTTGCCTCTATCTCTCGAACCATCTGCCTGCAGATACAATTGGAATAATCATTTGCTCCGATGCCCTAGTAGATTAAGTCAATACAGTATGACCTATGCAAAAAGCAAAATACAAGAACGCTTCCTGTTGGCCTCAATTCATAAAGACTTAAGATATCTTCATAAACATCAGGGATGATAAATCAATTGATAAATAAATTATATATTGTGGATGAACTTACTGAAGATTCGGAAGATGGAGAATGCATACTGAAGTCATCACCATGACCACTAACAACCTTCAAGATAAGCATGTTAAGATTCAATTATCTCTCAGATCTTTAAGTACAAATTAATCATGAAAAGACTGCATGAAAGTGGACGCTGTTTACCGTAGCTGACTCTATAGCGATGATACCATGGAGGTTTAGCTGGACTTTAACCTTAACCCTTGCCTTATCATTACTGGAGCCTTGTAAAGGACCAATCTATATAAAGAATTTTAGATTACCTTAGTTCATTGACAAAGGAACCATCCATGAGAATGAGAAGTCCAAGATGCAAAATCAATAGTGAGTAACATTCAATGCGAAAGCATAGAAAAGAAAGTTACGAGCATAATGTATCAAACAAATCCCTTCAACAGACATCCGAAAGTGGCTGCTTGTTACTAAAAGATCTTATTTGTGTTTAACCACCATCGAACCATACATCTAAAGGCAGTTCGACCCTAAATCTAAGCACATAGCAACAAGAAGTATTTCTTGTATCTCCTCCCTCGGCCAGCGCCCAAAAGCTGAATGATCGCTCTCCAATCAGATTTTGAAGCAGATAGAAATGTGCCTAGGGAGTGTGTGGAGACTCTTCTTAACTAACTGAATCATATATCAGTCCGGGGGACTCTTCTTAACTATCTGAATTGTATATTATCCTTACATCTCAATCACAGATGGTAGAATACTTTCATTTTCCAGATGTCCATCCATACCAACCATATGGAAGCCATCACGAAAAAGGCTTCAAGGGTTAGAAATATGGATAGTCCTAGTTAAAATATCCTTAACCCAGCATGATTTTCTCTAGCATTTTTGAAGCTAAAAAGTACCTACATGAACATTGAATCAAAGACTGGTGTGTTTAGAAAATACAACAAGAAAACAACACAAATTGTGCATCAATAACGGACAAAGACAAGGTAAACACAGTGAGCATATAGTTATCATCATGAGACCAAAAGATACAAGGCAAGAACTGTATGCAATGGGAGTTCAGACCAGTAACCACATCTTTATGAGAAGGTAGAAGACCTAATGTCAGACCAAAGAGTTCCCCATATCCTCGACATTATTGACAAGAAGGCTTACCGTAAAAGTACATATCCTGGAAGACACACCAGCTGGAAGTTCATTTGGATCGGCATAGAAAGCGTCCAAGTGAAACTGACTACTTCTTTGAAATGTCAAGACTTTGGTACTTGGAATGGATAGGCCTCTAGGAAACAATATGCCATTAGATGAGGGTGTGCAAATTGGGCCTTCATCTGATGAGAACCCTACGGAGAAAGGATTCGACTCTTGAACCTGCATACCACCCAGCTAGAAGTTCCTGAACTGTCGTTGAACGCACATATATATACAAGTAAAACAACATGCCATACATTCCCTTTTGCAATTCACAGTGATAGTCTGGGGAGTGGGTTAAGGGGAAATACAAGGACTATAGTCTATGATGAAATGCATACATCAAAGGCTACAGTTATAATGCAAAATTTAATTTGATTGGAACCTAATCATTTAAGAAGCACACAACCTATCCACAAAAAAGGGAAGGAGCAGTAATTTGATTGTTAACACTAACAACCAATGTAAGCAAGTGCATGCGACTTTGGAACAGGAAAACTATAAGGGATCAAATTGATTTTGAAAGTACTTACATCATATTCTTTTACACGAAAAATTGGACTAAGCATTGCACATTGCAGAGCACACCCACGAGCCACACATTCACTTGCATTTAGAGTCCGACTGGGTTCTCTTCGAAACAAAGAAGTTATTAACTTAGCAATTGCTGGTATTCTAGATCCAGATCCCACAAGCTCGACCGAGTGAATACTTCCCACGGAGATGGCTGCATCAACTAAAGCTTTCTTGCAAGGAATACCAACTCTCTCTCAGCAAACCTGATGACAGCCTCTCAAACTCTTCCCTCTTGATGAAACCTTTAACATCCTTTTCATCCATCAAGCATTCAATGTTTAAGGGTGCCTCTGAGTTTGCACTTAGAACCTTCTTCAACTTTTCACATGGGGCTCTTAACCTAATACAAGCCCTGATATTAGAATTTACATCTATATTGTACCGCTCATTAACTGAGCCGCAAAATAACCAAACAAAACCTCATCAAATTCCTTCCCACCCAAGTTGCTTTCAAAAGCATGTGACATTATTCTCATATGTCCAACTCCGTCAGTTCTATTCACCACTGATGATGCTAAAGTGCTACCATATAAGAGTGAAATGGTCTCATATATAGCTAACAGAGGAAATCGATCAGTTGCCGACGACAAGTCATACGATAAAAAATGTCGTTGACCTTGCTTGTTCAATCAACGATTTGATTGGTTTCGAAATGATACTATAGACACCTGAGTATCACAGTGACCAATGTCAATAAATGCCACATATGTCGGCCCGGTACTGGAAAAATCGGTTTTATATATACCATAACTAAGTGCAGTTGCAGCACAGTCATGCATCAGTCTCAAAGGCTTCAAACCTGCAATTTTAGCAGCATCCAAATATGCTCGTCTCTGCAAATCTGTGAAGTATGATGGTATTCCTATCACATAGTCTACGACTGGCATTTCCAAGTTCTTCTCCGCCACATCTTTCAAATGTGAAAATAACATTGCCAAGATTTGAACTGGTGCAAATGAGTGCGTTTCACCCAAGTATTTCAAATTAACCAAAATGCCACCATCCTTTGCTTCTGACGTCTCAAATGGTAATGTTTTTAGGTTCGTTTGAACTTCAGGATCCTTTAATCTCCTTCCAATCAATCTCTTCACTTGTGTTACAGTAGATCTTGGGTTCATCATAGCAGAAGAGGCACCTGAAGATCTAAAGAACCTCTGTTTCTCCCCAAAACACACCACAGTGGGGGTTTCACGATTTGATTCATCATTCAACAACACGTCAATGCCCTGTTGTTTTACAACAGTAATAACACAGTTGTCATTACCGATATCAAACCCAACCACACTCATTGTCGTTGACTAGCACTGTCGATAACATACACCAGTAAAAAACCCACAATTCCACCTAGGGACAACAGAATTCCGTCTAATTATTGTTCATGATTCTGTCAAGACTAAAGACCAGGCCAACAGATGCTACAAATGCACTACCAGAACAGGAAACCCGGGTAGTCAAGAGTGAGAAACAATGAGGAAACATCCTTAGAAATTGGAATCTTGGTGCCCGGTTCAATAACAAAAGATATCAGAACAACATCAGGAAGATCCAGGTTGAATTAATTTCAGAACATAGATTTACATAGAAGGACGGAAACTCTCCAACGATAGAGCGATAAAACAAAATTCTAAACAAAGACCAAGGATACCCAATATTCAAAATCCGAACTTTACCTCTCCATTCAACCATCTCATCAACAACCCACATGAAATTGCAAAAGTGAAAAGAGAGGAAAAGTAGAAATTACGACATGGAGTACAGGGGCGAAACACCCTAGATGCGCAGAGCATGCAATGCAACGTCAATTTTTACCCGATCCACAGACGGCAGTTTCCCCGACGAAAATCCGGCGAAAAAGGAAACGCCCCGGGAAGAAGAATTGCACGGAGAGGAGAAGAGAGGGAACCAGCCGATTTGTTTTCTGGCTGGGGACATCTACCGGATGGAATGTCTCGCCTTGCTCTCGACACTGTGGCAAAATCAACAATTGGTTTACGACTACGAGGGTTTTCTCGCAAACTACCTCTTGTCGTAGGGATGACATAGTGCCAATGCGTCGTTAGATTTCTAATTTTAAACCTCAAAATGTTTTTCTATGTCCTGGTTTAAGGTCGGAATTACACACAAATTTGGGTGAATTACATGCAAATAAAAAAAATTACCACCGATATAGAAGTCTGAAATCGTATTGTCGAGAATATCGTACAAGAAAGTGAGAATGTGTGAGTGTGAAGATGCGCATACCGAGTGCAATTATAGAATATATTAGTTCAATATATACGACATCACGTAAATTGAGTCTAAACAAGATAAGTTTAGCTCAGCTCTCACAACCTCGCGCATGCTGAGCTACACAACTACGATTGTGCTCGGCATGCATGGCCTCACACATCACCCCTTCTAACGGTCACATAAGCCCGACAACGAGCAGAAAACGACTATTTTTTTCAAATATAAATATGAAAACTAGTTCTCATGTTTTCATATCATTCTTTCACTCTTTCTTGCCACATTACTCATATTAAAAATGCTATGACCACCAAGAAATTTTTTATCACTTCATCAAGAAATTTTACCACTACATAATATTTTTTTATTTTTATAATATTTATGTAAAACACCCCACAAATTTTAATCTTTTCTTCTTTTTTGTCTTCTTAATATATTTTCAATTCTACATATTTATTACTTTTGAATATATGATAAGGTGTCTAAAATAGTAGAATATTGATGAGTGTAATTAATATTTGAATACGGGACCGTCAATTGAAAGTCAATTGTTTTATGGGTAATTATCATAAACGGTCACACAACTTATCACTTAGTACAAATCGGGACATCGGAGAAAAGAGAAACCGCGGCTATCTCCTTCCTCCAAGAAAAAAAAAAGCAAAGAACTTGCCCGCCGGAGCCCTGATTCCCTCTCCCCTCCACCAATGCCTAGGCTCCCTACCTCAATCAATCCTCGATTGTTATTCTTCCATTTCCGACAAACAATAAAGGGAGAAGGTAGCACCAAAATTCTGTAGTGCAACAAAGGAAATGAATTAGAGAGAGAGGCCCACAATAGTCCCCATCCTACGACTGCGGCTCCAGCGCCGCCAACTATTGTTGAGCAATATAACAGACGAAACGAGGCAGACGGGAGGAGTCTAGGGTTTGCATAGAATCAATGTCTTTGTCTTCCGGTGGATCGGACAGCTACAGCAAACCTACTCAATCTAGGGTTTCGGGTATGGGACTGAGCAGCAGGGAACCACCGCCGACAAGACCCCGTCATGTGTGTGAGGAGGAAGCAGTCGTCGAAGAATGAGGAGGGCCATAGTGGGGCTAAGAACTGAGCGGCGAGTACGATCTATCTGTCTGATCAAGCTCGATGGGTGTAGTTTTCGGATGGGTTAAGTGTGGTTCGATTGTGTTCAATTGGTTTAGTTTATTAAATTTTTATGTGATATGGCGTGCTGACTAGATTAAATTAACGGATTTTTGGATGGAGATTGACGAAATGACCTTTTTGTTATTCGTCCAAACGTGTTTATTTTGAAATGTGCAAAATTAAACTTTGTGACCGTTTTGTACTAAGTGATGAGTTGTATGACCTTTTATGATAATTACTCATTGTTTTATCGTTAATCATTCTCTTGCATATTATTTTCTCAGATCATTGGCACACATATAAATTTATTGTTGTTTATTTTTATAAAACTTTCAAATTGTTTGTTTACGTCTTATGTATGTATAGAAAATTCTCAGATAACATATCATTATTATTATTTTTTTGGTGCGAATATCATTATTATTTTTACAATTGATAATTATATATATTGATAAGAAAAATAGATAATTACATTCTGGAATTTAACTAGGTCATAAAATCAAAGAAGCGACGCATAGTCAGCTACAATTGAAGGGCCTTTCTAGCCACCAAATAGGCTACCCTATAAGTACCCGGTCCTACAAATCGCATATTAAGCCCTCTATGGATCGCTAAACAATGAACAATTCCTCAAGAAAAGCTCCAATTCGGCTATCCCTAGTATCCGATCTAATTAATTTTATCAATAACCACCTTGCCATCACCTTCCAATCTCACTTCCGTAAACTCGGACGTCAGGCACTAGAGAATAGCCTCCTGGAGGGTGAGCATCTCAACAACCAAAGGATCGTCAAATAACATATCTTTATAAAAGAAGGGAAATAAGACAATAAGACGCTTCAAAAATGCCAGATACAAGCGTAAGTGAAACAATCCTAAATGTAGGCCTCCAGTTTCTTGTTTTAGTTTGATCATCAAATTGTAGCTCAAAGTAGAACACAAAGACAATGGCCAATTTTAATAAAAATTTGTATATCTGTGTGTTTATCATCAATTAATGTTATCTGAGATCAAATTCTAAACATAAATGTTTGTTTATCTTAATTTAATTAAATTGAGATTAGATAAAATGTCGATTGGATCTACAAAATGATAAAGATATAAATAGGTATTGACAAACTTCATCTTGCATGAAGATGAGAAAGTGACTTCAATTATTAGAAATAGGAAGTAAGACAATCTACCTCCAACTTGTCCTTCCCGTCATCAAACTTCTAAGCACAAAAAAGGCCAAAAACAATTTTCGTTTTTGAATTTAAGTGATTTAAATAAAAAGAAGGACGGATGTTAAGAACCCTCTTTCGACACTTACAACTATCTCTAGACATTTCAACATAACACACCTATTTCAATAATTTCGCATGCCCTAACAAGATATTGATATGTCAAATATGTCTAATCCCATAATCAATTACTTTTTTTAATAGATGTATCATATCTTAGCTTTCATTCAAACCCATTCGGGGTTTAGAGAGCCCCTAACAGTCATACAGAATAAACTGGTACAAGAGAGCATCAGAAACAAAAATACTATGTACACCTAGAGGCTTCAAATGTCCACATCCGGCAAAGTAGTCAGCGCACTTATTGGCCTCACGATAAATATGGGAGATCTCGACTTCCAAATCCTTGTCTGCAAGCTCCTAGAAGCGAGAAACAGTAGTCGAATTTACGGTGGGTAGTGCCACACCTGCAAGTCTGCATAAGGGTCATGAACCTTAAATCCAGCTCCACACTCGATAAACGAGGTTCCAAACCACTTGAAGACCTTCAACGACACCTCTCAAATTTGTCTGGGTAATGGAGCAATATTCCAGGTTACAAGCGAACGCCTGGTAGCAACCCATTCGGCATGAGGAGTGGCTCGACGATGTGGGTGGGCTTTGGGAGTTAGTTTAATTATGTTATGGTCTTATTTAGGTTAGCTTGTGTTAGAGTTAGTACGTGTGTTAGTGCATGGGCCGAGTAAGTAGTAGTAGGGGGAGTGGGTTACGTATTAAGATAGAAGTCAGCTTCTTGTGTTGGGTTAGGAGAGGGCCGAGAGGCCTAGGGAAGTAGTAGGGGTCGGCTAGGGTTAATGGTTTAGGTATTAGGTTTAGTCGTCTATATAATGTAACTACGGCGTTAGTCCGAATCAATCAATAATAAACCTAAAACAGTCTTTCGACACTTTACGTCGTACTCTCGCTTGTGAGTTACAAGCAAACCCTAACCCGATAGCAACAGGTTGCTATCAATTGGTATCAGAGCCGACGATGGTAGGGACGGCTGGGGAAAGATGTACCGCGCTTGAGCAGGCTGTGGGAGAGCTGCAGGCGGCGATCGCGGAGCTGCGCGGCGGGCACCAGGCGACGGATGTGACCCTCCGCGAGCTGGGTGAGCGTGTCACCAGCGTGGACCAGGGACTTCTCGCGCTGGGCGGCAGTTTCGATGGGGTAGAGGGCGCCATCCGCGACCTTCTCAAGGGCAAGGGGGTGGTGATTGATGGCGGCGCTAGTGGCGCCGGCGAGAAGGAGACGCCAGCCGCGAAAGACGGCGAGCGCCGTGGTTCCTCGGCGTCAATGGACTCCGGGCGGCCGCTTGATTTCGGCCGACCCAGTGGAGGTGAGCCAAAGAGCGGGGAGGCCTCCAGAGGGGCCGATGGCGGCAGGAGCAGCGGCGGGGGATTCCTCGCCAAGCTAGCTCGGTTGGAGTTCCCACGGTTCGCAGGAGAGGAACCAGGAGCGTGGTTTCCCCGAGTCGAACAGTTTTTCGAGTATCACGAGGTTCCGGAGGAGCAACGGGTTTCGTTGGCTTCGTTCCACCTGGAGGGTGAAGCGAACCAATGGTGACAGTGGCTGAAGCGGACGTACAAGGATGCCGGTGAAACAATTTCGTGGGAGTTGTTCGCGCAAGAGCTGTGGGCGCGATTTGGCCCCACAGTGGGCGAAAGCTGTGACGAGGCTCTCTCTCGCATTCGTCAGACGGGGTCGCTCCGGGATTATCAGCGCGAGTT